TTCTAAATTCTCAATTTCTCTATATTCTCAAAATTTCTCAATTTCCTTCTAAATTCCCAAATAAAATCAAATTTTTCACATAAAAAAAATATTTCTTTTAAAAATATTCCTCCCACCACTTACTCTGAATAATATATATATATATTATATTAATATAAATTATAGTTTATAAACTATATACTTTTTATAGTTTATATATATATATATATAGTTTGCATATATAGTTTATATATATAGTTCATATAAACATAATTTATATATATAGCTTATAATAATTATATAGTTTATAATATAAATATAGTTTATATATATAATTTATATATAAACTTATATTATATATTATATTTTTTCAATTTTTTAAATAAATGTAATTTACTATATTTTTCATTATTTATTCACATTTTACATTTATTTCAATTTAACCCTTTTGTGTTTTTTTAATTTATTTCAATTTTAAGTCTTTCACTTTTATATGTATTCAATTTAGTCCTTAAATTTATATTTGCATCTTCATTTGGCCCATTGTTAGTTGTTATTTATATTTTTGTAATTAGCCCATAACTTTTTAAATGTGTTTAATTTAGTCATTTTTTATATTAATTTAAACCTCGCATTTTAAATTTATTTCGATTTAGTCCCTTACCTATGTGTGTTGTTTAATTTATATTTTAAAATTTTATTTGTAATTTTACATTTCTTCAATTTTGTCCTTAAATTTATATTTTTTACAAAATTGATATATGAATATTTATTTTTATTTTAATTTACTAGAAATCATATACAATTACAACTTGCAATTCAACAATCACGAAAGATGATAAAATAATTAATCTAAAAATAGAAACAACCCGACCTGAACTCAATCAGTATCCGGTAAACATCCGACTTGAATTTTATCTGTCAATGATGTAACCCGATCTGAACGAGATCCGACTGAAGTCTACCCGAACCTGAATTAACCTGATCTTTATCTGCTTCGGACCTGAACTGTTTTGACCTGAACTTACATCAATCCGAACTGAAAATGAGCTGACCTGAACCTAATCTGGATCTAACGTCAAATCAACCTGAATTGACATGTACCCAATTTTACCCAACCTACCAAACTCCGACTGAAACATGTCCGATTACCTGATATTACAACCTTAAAAATAGTAATAACCTTAATAACCATTATTAGGAGTCAAAACCGTTGAAAGAATAATTTCCTCCAACACCCAAAGACAACCAGAGCATTGTGGTTTCTTTATCATCTCGATGCGTGTGGAAAGGGAGTGTCTGCGAAAGATCCCATCTCTTTCGAATCAAATACTATGGCAGCTTTGATAAACCTTTGGGTCGGTATTTACGGGATGATTTATTGGACCAGGTAAATAATTTTTCCCGTGCATTTATATATTGCATTGTACAAACCCCAAAAGCTCTTTTGAGAGATGGAGATCATTAATTTTTCAGAGTTACCGATGTCATTCATGTGATTTGCCTTCGGAAGCACATATTGACTGTTATAGTTATCAACAAGGAACCCTTGCCATATCTGTTAAGAAACTCGCTGAAAATTTTTTATCTGGTGAAAGACTGGGCAAAATCTGGATGTGGCACAGATGCATACGATGTACCAGGGCCAATGGTTTGCCTCCGACCACACAGAGAATAGTGATGTCTGATCTGCTTGGGGTTTATCTTTGGAGCTTAGTTTTTCAAACCATGCAGCTGCAAGCCGGGTTGCAAGCTGTGGCCATTCTTTACATAGAGATTGTCTTCGTTTCTACGGGTCCGTTTCTTATAATCTTCATATATATTAATCGGATATCATATATGTACAAATAGATACCTCGTTCAAAATATGCTAAAAGACAGCTTTGTGCAGGCTCTTGACCTAAAATTATAATTCATCACTTGTTTGATTTAAAATCAGCCCTTTTGATCATACAAACTCCTCCGTCAATGATATCGATCTTAGAATATCTATGAGTGCACTAAGAGACTTTGTCAATGTTCAAATGAATTGACTATTAATTGTTTAAATATCTGTAGATTGGGGAGAATGCTTGCTTGTTTTCGGTATGCTACAATTGACGTCCATTCTGTCTAGCTTCCACCCTCAAAAGTTAGTTTTGACTTCGAGAATCAGGAATGGATACAGAAAGAGACAAATAAGGTGTGCGGATAATGGTTTTGGTTTTTTAAGTAGCCGATATCGATCTGTCTGCGGTTGGCTAATATGTTTGATCTTATTATCAAAACAGGTGGCTGACCGGGCAGAGCATATGTTTTCTGAAGTACACAATTCTCTAAGTAAAATTACAGATAAATTAAATGCGGCTGGGGCACCTCATAGTATCACGAAAACACCTGAACTGAGACATCAAATTGCTGAGCTTGAAGGAATGTTACAAAAGGAGAAAATGGAGTTTCAGGTGAGACTGAGAAATTATATAAAAAATGTTTTTGAAAAGTTCGAATTGTGGAGGTCCATTCTGATTACCCTTTGCATTTATCTATATAATTCTGTTAAAGAATAGAACTTTGGTAAATGTCAAATATGTTCATTGCTGTTTTTAGTGTCTGGTTTCATATTGTTCTTGGATTTGGTTCAGGAATCATTGCAGAAGGCTTTGAAAAGGTTAGTGAAAAAAGGGGAACTTGCTATTGACATTCTTGAAATTAACCGGTTGTGGCGACAATTACTTTTCCAATCTTATATGTGGGACCATCGCCTGGTTTTTGCAACCAATTTAGAAAATTATAACCTCCAGGACATCAATATGCTGGAACTTGGAAAAGGCAGTGAATGCTGTGACTTTGCTCTTGCGGATGCAAAGCTTGATAGGGGCTCTGACCAAAGAGAATTAAATGGCAAGACTAATCACTCAGACTTGGTACATCAAGAGCCAGATACGAGTGCAACTTCAAATGCGGTATCCGAAGACTATGGTATTCTTTCTGATACACAGAGCATGTATGAACGACTGGAATGTGAGAAACCTATGGAAAATGTTCGCCGCGCCTTGTCTGAAGGCCAGTTTCCTGTCATAGAAAATTTGTCAGATACCCTCGAAGCTGCTTGGACCGGGGAAATTCAGCAAGCAGCTGTAGTACCAAACAATATCTCGTGTTCTCTTTCTGATTCTGCTGCTTTCGATATTGCTGTTGCGGATTCAGTAACAGACGGTTTAGATTTGGAAGTTCACCCTGAAGGAAAGATTGAGCCGAAGGTTTTTCATTCTCTTTCTCCGGTATGGTCCTCTAAAAGCTCTGAAAATACAGAAGACGCTGTAAGCTGTTTAAAAATGCCTTTCTTAAGCTTCTACCGCTCCTTGAACAAAAACCTTTTAGACAATGCTTCCAAGCTTGATACATTTACTGAATATGATCCAATCTATGTTTCATCATATAGACAGTTGGAAGTGCAAGACGGGGCTAGACTGCTTTTGCCGGTCGGCTTTAATGACATTGTTATTCCAGTTTATGATGATGAGCCCACAAGTATGATATCATACGCTTTAGCATCACCCGAATATCATTTCCAGGTAAGTGATGATGGCAATAAGCCTAAAGAAAGTGGGGATTTAACATCATCACTATCGTTCCCTGAATCACTGATTCAATCGTCACTTTCTCTTAACGAGTTGACCTTTGATTCTCATAGAAGTCTTGGTCCAACCGATAACATTATTGTTTCTCGCAGCTCAAATATGGATCCACTCTGCCCCACAAAGTCTTTGCATGTAAAGGTGTCTATCGGAGATGATGGATCGTTTGATAAAGTGAAATTTACTGTTACATGGTATTGTGCAAAGAGGTTCAAAGCATTAAGGAGAATGTGTTGCCCATCAGGGATTGATTTTATAAGGTCTTTGAGTCGTTGCAGGAAGTGGAAAGCTCAGGGTGGCAAGAGCAACGTTTTCTTTGCGAAAACCTCAGATGATCGGTTTATCGTTAAACAAGTCACAAAGACAGAGTTGGAATCATTTATAAAAACGGCGCCTGGATATTTCAAGTACATGTCTGAATCAATTAGTTCTCGAAGTCCGACGTGCCTGGCAAAGATTCTTGGTATCTATCAGGTGCTTGTTCCTATGGCTTCAGATGCTCTAATGCTACATACGATAGCCATTAATCTAATTTTGGTCAACTAGTTGGAATAACCCCGACATAATCCATCTTTCAAGTGTAAAATTATCTCGGTTGTATGATGATAATTGTGGATTCTGTGATCATTGTTTCTTTCTATTGTTGATTTCTGTTGAAAGGTTTCGGCAAAGCATCTTAAAGGTGGGAAAGAGGCAAAGATGGATGTTCTGGTAAGTTTTCGGGCCTGGAGATCAATCTGCATTACATGAATTTCTAGTTTAGATTACGATTACGTCCCGTTTTTCTTATTTCTTTCTTTTCAACCTTGCAGGCAAGCGACGTGATGGATTATTCTTTAGTAGTTGGAGTGGATGAGGAAAAGCACGAGCTAGTTGTCGGAATCATCGACTACATGAGGCAGTATACCTGGGACAAGCATTTTGAAACATGGGTGAAGACTTCCGGCATCCTCGGTGGACCGAAGAACGCATAACCGAATGTAATATCACCAAAGCAATACAAGAAAAGGTTCCGGAAAGCAATGGCTACGTATTTTCTAATGATCCCAGATCAGTGGTCCTCTCCTGCCACATCAGGCAAATCTCAGTTGGATACAGGCGAAGAGAACGGACAACACAGGACCTCCTTCAAGTGATTTCATGAACGAAACCTCAGAGTTCGTCTCTCCCATTCTGTTTTCCTTTGTTCATAAGATTGATTTTCCATTTACACAACAAAAGAGAAGAAAAAAATCATATATTTTTTTTGCTTAAGCCATGAGAATTTGTCATAGGTCAAATATTTAGTGACCCTTGCATGAATTTTTTATACAAACTAGCATATATATTCCATCATACTGCAAAAACAAAGTGATTGATTACAATAGAAAGAGATTTTTGTTTTTGCATTATTCGATCTCGAGATTGATATTGACTGAAGATTTAACAGAGTCTTGCTTTAGTGGAACTTGTTAAAAATCATTGACACCATTAACAATTTGAAGCCATCTATCTTGAAGCAGATCAAGGATCTCAGCATCTCTGGATTCAGTTCAACAATGACAAAACACAGTCAGTAATTCGAGTATTTAATCTCGGAATTGATGCGGACATGCTTACCTAAGATGATAGAATGTTCGTTGACGAAATCGAGGCCCTTCATCGTATCCTTCACAAACCGTTTCTCCGTTTTCATCTCTATAGCAGATTACACCTTCAGACTGATCCTCAAAAACCTGCAAAGCAGACATTCAAGCATTCATGTTGGAGATAAGTTGCAAATAAAAACAAACATGGAACACAAGTTTTGCCGGTTATGTCCTGAAAAAACACACTAAACGAGCATCGTTGACCTTGTTCTTGGAGAATGATTTGATCTGAATAAAGGGTGTTTTCTTGTTCGGAACCTGTTTTTTTCCAAGCATCACGATCTTGTTGCCTTGGTTTGCAGGTGAACTCGAAGCTGTAACTGGAACATGAAGAGAAAAGGAGCTTGCTAAAGACATTGTCATGTTGAGACAAAATTTGGAGATTGAAGTGGTGGTTTTGCATAGTTTAAATAAGGTATTCATAATGGTGACAACAAGGGATCTTGGAGCTATGTATTAAAAATGAACGATGAGATTTACATCTCTATGGATTGGCTTGTTGGTTTTGCAGGTGACACGTTAAGGCAAATGATGGAATGTTTACTGGGATTACAGGATTAATCTCTCTCCATTATTTGCTTTTCCAACCAATCACGTCTTTGGGGGCTTTATTGGGCTATTTTAGGTTTGCAGTGTCAGGATTTGAACTTCCGATCTTGCTTAACGGATCTAAAAAGTATTTTTATTTCTTTCGCAATATGTGTAGAAGATAATTAGGATGAAACTAGCCAAAAAATTTATAAAAGAGACCAAAGTGAGAATTTCATTAAAGTATAAGATCATTTTAAATATTAAACCTTTTAAAACCAACCAAAGATGCCAAAAAAGACACTGTTTTCCCATATGTTTTATACATAAATGATTGTAGCATTCAATAATATTCAATCATTCATATTATAATGGGCCGAAACACACATCAATAGGTGTAGGTTGACATTTTAACTTCTTTTAGGAACCCACAATTGAGCTATCCGGTGGGTCATGTGCTATATCTTACAGCTATAACCTAAACCTGGGCCTATACCTTGTTAACTCCATGTTCAATCAAATGCTGGACCACATTGCTCCCTTAGCAACTCTAGTTTATTTTTTCATAATAACAAAATTATCCCTTAATATTTGTATGAATGGTCACTTTGCCTCTTATCTTTTTTAGTAACATTTTATTTAGAGTAAAATGTCCCTTGATTAGATGAAAATTATTAATTGACTAACTGTCAATGTTTCATACGAACGAGGCAAGTTCATGTATGATGCCACTTCAAAAAAAATTATTTTTATAATAAACTATATTTATAATTAATTACACAAACACTTATAAAAATATATTTAAAATAGTTTAAGAATATTTTTTATGACATGACATCACATGTAGACCTATCACATCAATAGGAAGCATTGACCGTTAATCAATTAATGATTTTCATCCACCTAAGGGCATTTTACTCCAAAATAAAAAGGTGGAGGCTAAATGCTCCAAAATAAAGGATAAGGGACAAAGTGATCATTTGTGCAAACGTTGGGGATAATTTTGTTATTATGTATTTTGTTTCTTTAGTTCGAAGCCAACTCTTTATCTTAATTATATTTGAAATCGAGTCAAATTGATCTTGAAATAAGGGACTAAATTCTGCTAATATTGTTCTTTCCACCCAAAATAGTTATATGACATTTTTTCCAAAAACTGAGTTAAGTTGAACATTGATAGATTGTTAATGTTGTTCTTTTTTAGAAGACTAAAATTATTATTATACCATCGAACATTATCGTTCTTGTTGAGTCAATTGTCAGATTTAACATCAATGACCAAAATAAAAAATAAAAAATAATATTAGGTATGATTTTGAAAAAAATAATTAGGTGACTAAAACAAACGTTTCAGAATAGACAAGTGATCAAACAAGTAGTTTATCCTTTTTCATCCTTAAACTCAAATCCCAGACGTCAAATTCGATTATACACCTTTCTATTTCAAATAAATCAACTTTTAATCTTTAAACCTATCAACTTCGCCAACTTGATCCCTATATCTTTTTGGTCCACGTTAGTCACTCAATTTGGATTTATTTATTATTTTTAGTCTTTTAAAATGACGTGACACTCTGAGAAAGTGTTACATGGAATAACATTTAGTATTCTTTTATTGGTTTGTCTACATGCTACTTTTGTATTCTTTTTTAGAAGCTTCTTAATTGGATTTCATCTCCACTTTAGAGTGTGAGCATTTCACAATCCATAGGCTTATAAGCTGTTGAATTGCAGGTAAGCATTAGTTAAAAACTTCGAAACATTTTCCAATTAATATCCGATCACGAACACTAACTCGAATATGAAAATATGACCCTTTGAGAATGAAGCATCTCTTTCAAAAGTTCAAAGCCAGCATTATTGTCAATTTGACATATGCTGTGTAGCTTAATACAGTACAATAAGTGTTACAGTATTGACTACTTTTGAAAAAAATAATTAGGTGACTAAAACAAAAGTTTCAGAATAGATTAGGACAATGTCTCACTGTTGTTTCATTTTGAAATGGTAATATATATATAGCTTTTGTTTAAGGCATAATGTAAATAAATACCCATAGCGTTTGGTATTATATGTATTTGTGCCCAATTCGTTTTTTTAGCAGTTCTACCCACAACGTTTGATTATGAGGCATAAGTCCTCCGTTGGATGGAATCCGTCAGTCAACTGACGGTCAACGGATCCATCTGACGTGGCATGTACATGTGGTCATCAATGATGACGTGACATTTATATGTTATTATTTTTGCTGACGTGATAGATCCACGTAGACTAAATGCTGACGTGACATGTACACGTGTGATGTCATATCATCAAATTTTTTAAATTAATTAATAAAAAATAATTATTTTTTATTATCAACCAATTAGATGTTGTCATGTGGCATATGAATTTTTTATTAAATTAAGAAAAGAGGGATTAAACCTCCACAAATTTTACAGTCTATGGGATTTAAACCTAGGTCTAAAGGATGAAAGCCTTGATACTTAACCATTAGGTCAATTCACTTAGTTGTTATTGAATGACTAATAACAACATTTAAAGTATATTGTTGCCATCAAAACCACCATTAACACAAGCACATTTTTTTTTAAAAAAAAATTATAGTTAAATTTAAATTGTTATAATTATTTGAGTAAATTTAAATTATCCACAAGTCTTTTTAAATTTAAATTTATAAATCGATATGGGGTCTTAATTAATTTTAAATTTATAAACTTAAAAAAAAATCATAGGTAAATCAATATGGGAATAAACCATAGGTCTTTTTTAAAGTTTATAAATTTAAAATTATAAAATTAATTATAATTTTAAATTTCAGTTTTTTAATTTTATTTTGATTCATCAACAACAGATCTCCAATCTCCATTTTTGTCTTTAACAGTGATAGTGCTTATGGAAGATGTGAAAACAGTGCATTTGATTGTAGGGTAAATGATATTTGATCTAACATATGATTCTTGGAAAAATCAAATGCACTGTTAGATTGATGAACTGTCGAAACGTGAATGAAAATGCTTTGAAGATAAAAAAAAATACAAAATTTACCAATATTCTCATTCGAATTGGCGTCAAATTTCATTTAAGCTGTCACATGAAATACACCATTGAAGATAAAATTTTAATTAATTTTAAATTTATAAACTTTAAAAAACACATATGGTTTATTCCCGGATTAATTTTCCTATGATTTTTTTGAAGTTTATAAATTTAAAATTAATTAAGACCCATATCGATTTATTAATTTAAATTTTAAAAGACCTATGAATAATTTAAATTTACTCAAATAACTATAACAATTTAAATCTAGCTATAATTTTTTTTATAAAAAAATACTTGTGTTAATGGTGGTTTTGATGGCAACAATATATTTTAAATGTTGTTATTAGCCATTCAGTAATAACTAAGTGACTTGGCCTGGCGGTTAGATATCAAGGCTTTCATCCTTTAGACCCAAATTCAAATCCCATGAGTTACAAAATATGTGGAGGTTTAATCCCTCTTTTCTTAATTTAATAAAAAGTTTATGTGTCACGTAATAATATTTAATTGGTTGATATTAATTTAATAAAAAATAATTATTTATTATTAATTAATTTTAAAAAAAATTGATGATGTGACATCACACGTGTACATATCACGTCAGCATTTAGTCTACGTAGATTTGTCACGTCATCATCATCTATGATATGAACATGGCCACGTCAGCAAAAATAATGACATGTAAATATCACATCATTATCGATAATCACATGTGCATGCCACATCAGATGGACCCGTTGACCATCAGTTGACTGATGAATTTCATCCAACGAGAAAACTTATGCCTTATAATCAAACGTTTTAAAAAAAATTATTTGAGCATAAATGCATATAATGTCAAAAAAAGAAAATAACTGTCCTTTTTTTTCATATGTATGAGATAAGGGGAGGTAAGATAGTAGGCTACCCCAACACCAGGTTGAGAGTAACTTCCGTAAGAGACCTCCGAATTATAAAATACCCTCCGTAGGACTCGATCCCACGACCTCAATGTTAAGAACCTTGTGCTCTACCAACTGAACTAAATGATCATTTCTAACATATAATATCAAACATTAGGGATATTTGTTTGCATTCCTTTATTTAATGTTATTCACTTATCCAGTCCATCCATGCGGGGCTTATGAAACAGTAGTTGATTGGTTCATAGGTGTCTACTGGTCTAAGCATTTGCCTTGTTTAGCTAAGTCCATTGTATGTTCAAACTTCAAACTGCAATCGCTTTCACATGCATCAGTTTATATTGACTTATTAGTCTTTTCAAGAAAAAGAAACCCCATTTGACCAAGAAAAACCAGTTCATCTTCAACAAAAAGCATGGATCTTGCAAGCCCCAAATACTTCCAAGCTCCACTTTTGTTCTCTAATGGGGTATTTTTGAGCTTAAAGATCCCACATTTGTTGCATTCTTTTGTGTGTGTTTTTCTGCAGTTAATGCGTTTGTGTTTTCATGTGATTCAGGAACCGGCGATGGAGAGTAATGATAACCCATTTTCAGACACGTTTTCAGACCCACTTTGCAAGCTCAATCTCAAGGAGACATCTGAGTTTGTCAAGTCTTTTCCAATGTCGGGTTTGGATGTTTCAACGCAGAGGAGGCGAGTTGGGGTTAACTCAGTGACAACAAAAAGGGGAGTTTTTGAAGCTCCTTCTACACCAGGTAGGCCTGTTTTCAGATTCAGCGGCGGCGGTGGTAGAAAAAGCTTTCCTTCGAAGTGGGATGATGCAGAGAAATGGATAATCAGCTGCCATGACTCTCCTACTCACCCCATTAGGCCGCCACCGGCACAGTCGTCCAAGGTGGCTAAACAAGGTGATAACTTTAAGCAACAAGGTGAATTTTTTTCTGAGAAATCAAGAGTAACTGAGGAGAATGTTTCAAAGGTTGTCCCGAGCTTTAAAGAGTCAGTTTCATTGGGACACCATGGCTCCATTGATGTCTTTCTAAAAGGTAGAATCTAAATACATTTAATGGAACTTGTGGTCTACCGTTTTAATTGTGAGCTGATGAATAGCAGGGTTTCAAATCGTGGTCTTATTTTCAATTATTTCGGATTTACCTTGATTGCGGCCGTCGCGGGTAACTCGGACGGCGGCGAAACAGCTATATCGTAGCCGAAATCGTGGTCGCGGACCGTTTTTTAAAACCGTGATGAATACCATTCGGCTTTATAATCATATCCGTTTTTATGCAATGATTCTGTAGATAAGTTCACAGATGAAATAGAACCGATTTTACCGGATTTCAGATGTTCAGAGCCCTCAAAAGAAGGGTTTCTTTTCCAAAACTCAGCCAGTGCAACCATGAAGGATGCAGGCATGGAAGTGTTCCATGAAGTTAACCACAAGGACGTTGGGAATGAGATGACTCCGCTCGGAAGTTCGATGACTTCTAGATGCCATACGCCGTGCAAGAGCTCCTCCCCTGCACGGAATAACACGCCGGCTAATCGGTCAGGTCCGTTGAATTCCGCCGATTCGAATAGTTCTAACAGCACAATTGACATTTCACAGCTGCAAGAGTGTCATCTAGCTAAGTTACAACTGGGGTCTCAATATGATTCTATCACATCGAATTGGAGCTCGAGGGAAGAAGAGGAGGAAGACGTGTCGAAGAGCCTTAGACATTTCGAGACCGGCCGTGCGTGCCGGAGAAGTGTTTCGGATTGGAGAACTTCTACATGGGAGGAAGAGGAAAGGACTAAATGTTGCATGAGGTAAAGAGGTGAAATACATTTGATCATTGTCTTAGTTGTGTGGCATCTTAGTAATGACTATTATTCGGGTCATAGGTACCAAAGGGAGGAAGCAAAAATCCAAGCTTGGGTGAGCCTTCAAAGTGCAAAAGCAGAAGCTCAATCAAGAAAGCTCGAGGTACTTATTGGATCTTTCTCGGCTTTACCATATCGGAACATTCGACTCTTTTCATCAACTGAATGTGCTAATTGGACTATACTTCAAAGCTTAATCCGAACCTATTAACTCGAACTTTTTCATTAAGCTCTAAAATATATTTAATCATGTGCCACTGACGCACTTAGTTGATCAACATTAACTTCTCATCTTGTAGGTGAAAATCCAAAAGATGAGATCAAAACTAGAGGAGAAACTAATGAAAAGAATGACGATCGTTCATCGAAAAGTCGAGGAATGGAGAGCTTCGGCACAACAGCAACACCCAGAGCAAATGCAAAAGTCGAACAATGCACCGATGATTAACCGAGGTAACTCGAATTTTTCCGGCAACATCTCGTGTGGTTGTTTACCTTGCAATAACAGATACTGAAAAGATAGATCATTTCCAATGCCCCCACCATTCTTGCAAAGCTTTTTTCATGTAGAGAAATCACATCAGTAACTGTGTCTGAAGTTTCAGCTCTAAAAGTTCTTTCACCATTGTTGTGCCACATTCATTTGCCTTTTATCGTTATATTGTTTTGTTTGCGACCAGGGATGGACCTAGGCGGGGTGCCCTTAAAAATATACAATTATCGTATATTTTATATTTTTTTTATATATTTTCTATTGAAATTTTGTTTTGATCCCTAAAATTTTATTTATCCCGAAATATTGTAAGTTGAAGTTTGACCCCTAACCTCAACTATTGTATCTGTCCTGTTTTGTCCTTTTTTATGTTTCCTTCTATTCGAGTAGAACAAGGAACTTGTCTGGTAATGATAGTGAACCAATTCTTCCACTAACATGATAATTGAATATATATATATACGTGGGGTCAAAAGTATACACTTTTATCTTCTCGGCATACACAAAATGGATTTTCTTTAATCTAAATGTCACGTAAGTTGCATACAAGTTACGTGGAAAGTACCTTTAAAAAGTACGCCTGGAAAACACCTTTATAATATGCTATGTATGTTGAAGACATAATTGTACAAATATGAGTATGAGTCGAGACGATAACAACGATAGACATGTATTACACATATGTTCAATATTCAATCAATAAAAATTATGATCGATATCGGTCACATCAGCAGAAAATACGTTCTACGGAAAATGAGTTTTAGAAAGTGTTTCTTATGAAAACGTCTTTGACTTACGCGACACGATGATAAAGCTTTTGATAAAAGTTTTGCGGTAGGAGTAGCATTCATCAGCCTTTGTATTCGCTCCCCATGGCCATTGTTGCAGCTAAATTACAACAAAGCTTTTCCTCTGCTTGACCCCCATAGATCCACTGCCAGTCACAGTATCTTACAGTGAAGAACAAGGACAAAGTGAAGAAACAAAGACAAGAAGACCAAAACAACCAGAAAAGACCACACACGTAAAACCAAAACCAGACAATATATAGCAGAAGTTGCAGTTGCAGAAGAAATACACAACATAGCATGCCTGACAATGCGTAGGCTAGCATCATCTACAGACTACTTAGCTAATTCGAATGGTTCTTGGTTCTACTCCTTTACTGTTCTCAGGTGTGGGGCTAAGCAAGTTTTCTAAGTTTTTGCTTCCAATCAGGGTGAAACGGATTTTTCTTTGGGTCGGAATGGAATTATAGGTTTTTGGAGGGAGTCAAAGTATAATTTTACCATTGTACTAGTTTATAATTGGCTTAATACACTTTTAAGTGCCTAAACTAAATCTCAAATTGACTTTTGGTGCTTCATGTTTTTTCCATTACACTTTTAAGTGTATATCGTTATATATATATTTGAGTTTTAAATGAATTTTATGGCATCGGAGGTCTTTATTATTATCCAAATTCTAAATTAGTCTTTAAACTTTAGAATATTTTAACTAAATCCTCAAGATATTATATCAATAAGATCCTTCTATCAGTTTAGTCGCCAACTTAGAGTCTAAATACTAATTTAGATTTAACATGGTGCTATGATTCAAATTGTAAGCATGTACTACAATCCAACGCATGGATAGTTTGGATTTGGTCTATTAAAAAAATATAAAGTGTCAATAAAATTTAAGGTAAATTATGTATTTAGTCACTCAATTATCATTTTAATTCCATTTTAGTCGTCTAATGAACTTTTTTCAAAAAAATCACTAGCGTTATGTTTTGGTCCACTGTCATTAAAAAATAACAGAACTACTGATTTGGTATATATAATTTTTTATTTCTCAATGATGATGTAACATTACCTTATGATAACACGTAAGCATCACCATTAATTTTTAATGATGGGTGATCAACTTGATATGAAACGTAACAATAATAATAATTTGAAAAAAAATAATTAGGTGACAAAAACAAAATTAAGGTGGTAGTTGAGTGACTAAATAAATAGTTTACCCTAAATTTTAAGATAGCTATTTCCTTTTTATTTTTTTATACATTAGTTCTGAGTACGAACAAAGTGGACTAATTGGTAAAAGAATTGTTGTTATTTCTTAAGGGCCCGAGTGTCAGTACTATGAATGCCAGAGGTGTGAGTGTCCAATGTCAAAAGGTTGAGATTTATCTTATAACAAATATTAACTTGTACTTACCCCATATTAATAAAAAAATACATTAGTTCTAAATTATTCATGCAATGGATACATATATTTACAATTTGATCCATATGTTTTAAATATATTTACAATTTAAGACCAATAATAAAATCATGGGTATGGGCAGATCACTTTCTCAAGCCCATTTAGTTGAAAGGCTGAAGCCTGCCCAATAAATCGTCGATATTCACAATAAATTTATATACAAGACCCGAAACGCGGTCGTTTTATGTGCTGGCTTGTTTTGCAAGAAGACTAGGAGACTTTAAGAAAAGCCGCAGCTTTCCCTTCCCATCGTTTGGTTGCTCTCATTGATACAATCTTTCGCAAGTAAATCATCCCTCTCATTTTAATTTTCCTTTCAGAAATAAGCTAAAAATTTATGGGTTTTCTTTGTTTCTTTAGGTTTTGTTAGATCTAACGCTCAATCGATCCAAGATGTTTCTCACCAGGTAACCAAATCAAAACATATTTGTTGATGATAAAGTTTAATTCCTCCCCTGCCCCCTTTTAATGTTTGGTGATTCGTCTCTGAAGGACTGAGTATGACCGTGGGGTGAACACATTTTCGCCGGAGGGAAGATTGTTTCAGGTGGAATATGCTATTGAAGCCATCAAGGTAAAAACCTTTTTCTGTTTGTTTGCTTAGAAAATCACCGAACTCCTTAAAGTTTTGGAGGAAAATATTCTATATGGTCTTTTCTTTTTCTTTTTTTTTTGTTGAAAATTTTGGGTTTTTACAGCTGGGATCGACTGCAATTGGGATAAAGACGAAAGACGGTGTTGTGCTGGCTGTCGAGAAGCGTATTACTTCACCATTGTTGGTCTGTAATCTTACTTGATTTAATGTGATTATCTTTGCAAACTATTTCTGCTGTGATTTACTTGTGGATTTGGCCCTTGTGTGTGATAGAAGAAAAATAGTTCTATATTTATTACATTTCTTTTGCTTTGCTAAAATGCATTTTAGAGGATGTGTTTTAAGATGTTGAGTTACATGGAGGATGAAGTCATGTTTAGCTTTTAGACTCGTTAGGAATATGAGTCTCTTTGGATCTATGATCTTCCCTTCAGTTGCAAACATGACAATATTGATTACTAATAGAGACCAAAGAATTGAAAATCTGGGTCCAAGGAATGGAGTTTGCAATCACTTATTCAGTTATTCTGATATTATTGTTGATTCACATAATGTGCTGGGCAGTATGTCGGTTCCTTTTGATGTACTGAAATTTGTAAGACATGTCAAGTATTCGATTCAGCTTGCCATCTCTGTCTCCTCTCTCTGTATGTATCTCTATATTCCCAAAGATTCCTTTACCTGTCACTTCTTTGCTTTGTCGTGCATGCAGTCGAAGCCACTTGTTTTCTTAAAATGATACTTGAAATCCAGCATGTGCCGCATATAGTAGATTTTGTGGATTGTAGAATTGTAGATTATTGTAACCTTTTCCGAGCCTCATTACTGGATGCCCTTTCAGGAACCCAGCAGTGTTGAGAAGATAATGGAAATTGATGACCATATAGGATGTGCTATGAGTGGGTTGATTGCTGATGCACGTACACTTGTTGAACATGCACGAGTTGAGACTCAGGTATCATAGTTGTTAGTGACCTACCGTTTGATATGAATTTATTTGTTCCTTATATGCTGATGATATCTTTTACTTTCACACAGAACCACAGATTTTCATATGGTGAGCCAATGACTGTAGAGTCCACAACACAAGCTCTTTGTGATCTGGCCCTTCGATTTGGTGAAGGAGATGAAGAATCCATGGTATAATTGTTTATCATTTCTGTACATAGCCATAGATATTTATGTTTCCTTTTCTATTATGATTTTTGCTCATCTTAGTAAGCAATAAACAGAGGGCCATATACCTAGAATTACTTCTATACTTGTGTCATGTGTTCAGTTTCTTTTGCCATCTGGTATAGAATTCTACCTAAAGGATTACTTTCAAACTGCTTATTTACATATATAATAATGTTTTCCTGTGCAGTCCCGGCCATTTGGGGTGTCTCTTCTCATTGCTGGTCATGATGAGAATGGGCCTAGCTTGTAAGTACCCTATAAATTTACATGTATTTGCTTTCATGTAGAAAAATCACTTTCAGTAGCACATGAGAAAGACCGAATGAATTTCTGTTGCATTACTAACTTTTTAGGACAGACATTTCTGTTAGTTGTCACTAAATAATTATATCATCGCTTTCTTGATCAGTTAAAACTTAGCCGCTGAACTGCCTTTCTCTGAAGGATGCCATTTATTAAAAATTGCTGTCACCATAATTAATACGGTTCTCACGATCAAGCAGTTATCTGGAAGTGGTAATTCAGTAGATTTATAGTTACATGGTACATACTAATTGCCCGAATGCTTGGTTTAGATAAGAGGTTTTAAGAAATTAAAATTGTAATAAGCTCTAATGTGTAGTATACATGTGTGGCTACCATTCCCCAACATATTTATGGAATATTTACAATTAATGTGCATGACCATTGATCCAAGTAGAATATTTTTTCAAACCTATGCGGTCTAGTATTGTTATACTTATAATATAGAAGTCGTTATAGATCCCTCTAAGTGTTTAAATTGGAAGGCATCCAAGTTATTTTTCAATTAGAATGATTAATGGTTGGCTTGGTTGGACTGGTAAAATGAAGTATCCGGGCTGTCAGAAAAGAAACCCAAATATGCTTCCTAGAGAGTGCAAAACAAAATCGACTGGCGAAGTATTGATAGGCAGGCATATGTCTTCATTCTGTCATTTACATATTCCAACTTTTTTGCAGATACTATACGGATCCCTCTGGAACATTTTGGCAATGCAATGCAAAAGCTATAGGTTCGGGTTCTGAAGGT